GTTCATATATGAATTTAAATTAATATCTTATATGAATATTTACAATGTGATTATTCATATATGAATATTTATTTATTATTTTTCATATATGAATATGTATTATTGTATATGATTAGAATGTAATATTCATATATGACTACTTATATATGATTGTTCATATATGAGTATTCATATATGAATGTAAATGTGTAAATTTTGTTTAAATTGTTTTTTCATTTTTTATTATGTTTTTGTATCAGGTTGAAATAAAAGCTGAAGAGAAAGAAATAAATTGCAGTTGTGAACATTTCAAGCATATGGGTGTTTTATGCAGACATGCTTTTACAATAATAATGAGATGTGGTGTTAAAGAAATTCCTGGAAGGTACATTCTGAAAAGATGGAGAAAGGATGTAATATCAAGAAATTATTGTTTTAGTTATGTTCAATCTAATTCAGGGGATTGTGAGAATGTGAAGCTAGTCAATGATTCACATTATAGTTTTGAATCATGTGTGGATATTGTAAGAGATGAAAAAAAGAAATTGGATTTGTTTGCTGAGAAACAACAAATGTTGTTGAAGGAATTTGAGAGTGATTATGCATCTGGTGGATTGAAAAGCAAGACGGATGGTAAAGTCGTATGCAAGCTTATGGGTGTTTCTATTCCTATTCCAAAAGAGATTAATATTCATCTTCCTCAAGTTCAAAGCAATAAAGGTTCTGGAATCAAGAAAAGAATTCCAAGTGCAGGTGAAGTAGCATATGAAAATTCTAAAAAAGAACATAGAATGTGCTCAGGATGTGGAAAACGAGTTCCTCACAATTTACGTACATGTCCAGTAAGAATTGTAGCTGCTCAAACAACAAAATACATTTAGGGTTTTTTTTATGTTTTTTGGTTTGATTCATTTATGAATATATGCAGATGATAACTATAAACAATAATATTCATGTACGAATAATAAACATTTATATTGATATGGTGAATTGATATGTGAAATATATGTTTTTTTTAAAATGAATATATCATATTTGTTTTTTTAATTTACTATTAAATAAGTTATATTGATATGGTAAATTGATATGTGAAATACACATATTATTTGTAAATTATTCATAAATGAATACATAATATGTGGATTCATTTATCATTGAAGATGTTATTATTTACATATAAAAGGTAAATTAATATATCATGTTGGTATTCAATTATGAATAAACTTAAATAAAATTGATAATTAGTAGAAATGAATACATCATAAATGAATACAAATATGTGAACTGTGTTATACTAACAAATAAGATATATTCATATATTAACTTTGTTATATTCATATATGAACTTTGTTATATTGACATATTACTGCTAACTTAATTATAAATGAATATATATCATATTGGTATTCAATTATGAATAAACATAAATAAAATTTGAAAATATTTAAATATAAAAAACTAACAAAAATAAGCAAACTTGTTTCTATTACATAATCATCCAACACAAGATAATAAAACTTGTTCATAAGAATTTCACAAACTATTTAAACGATTTTTAATAACATTTAGCAAACGATCTAAAATTTGTTTCACAGAACCATCTTACATGTCCTCAAAAATTCATTCAACTTCAACAAAAATTGTTCAACACCATCACACTTCATCACAAGCACTCCTCAATATTCTTTTAACCTTTTTTGAATTGTTTGCATAGCCTTGTATGTATGAGCGATACACACTTTGAATTCAACATTTTGATATTTTTCAGCAAGATCCAACACCTTAGCCTTCAACATGTTAATTTTAGAAGTTAGCATTCGGTGTGCATACCATTTGCCTGAGCTTCTCTAAAGTAGTTTGTTGAATTGCACTTTCTTTATGAAGACCTGGTTTCCACTTTGAGATTGGTTGTCCCATATAGGTCTCCATATGTCTCATTGCAATGACCCCATAATCAACTTTGTTTTTAACTGTTCTCCATGACATTTCAAGTCGTTGGGGTGTGATACTTTCTTTTGAGATGGCATTGGCTCTTGGATGGTTTATTTCTTTAAAGTATCTCACAAACAAATTTTTCTGATCATTAAATAAAATAAAAGATAGATATGTAATAAATTGGTTCTTATATGTTGTTGTGAATTGGGTACTTACCAAAGGTTTCAATAGTACTCCATATTTCCCTTCATAATCCCCCTCAACTGCACTGTTGTCTAGAATTTCAATTGATGGTTTCTTTAAGTTGAAGACAATCACAAAAATGTGAGCACTTCTAACAATTGGAAAGAATACATGTTTTTATGTATATAATGGTAAGTATTTTGTTGATAAAATATATATATAAAAACAAGTTTAATTAACATACCATGTCAATTTCCTTTTATGTTCAAGATTTTTTTGTACCCATCAGTACTGTCATGAAAGTTCTCCTTGAATTTTTCGTACTTTCTTTCATCAGACAATGTTGAAGATACATAAGCATTCTGTAACCAATATAATTTTAAAGGACTAGTAAGTTTTTAATCATAAATGAATACATCATGTTGGTATATTAACCATAAGTATATACTAAAGATATTTATTTTTGATTTTTATATTCTAAGATGAATACATCATTTTGTTATAATCGTATGTGAATTTCAGTTGCATATACATAATTATCTTAAAGAATACATCATATTTGTATAATCATATGTGAATTTCAGTTGTAAATAAATATAATATTCATAAATGAATACATCGTATTGGTATATTCATTTATCAATAAAGAAGAAATTAATGTTAGAACATAAACTTACAGAAACTCCAACTTTCAAGAAGAGTTTGTATGGTGAATTTCCGAAATCCCTTCCCAGTTCATGGTGGTTAAGTAAATCAGCCCAAGTGTCTAAAACTTCTACAAAAATCTCTGTGTTTGTATATAGAATTTCCATAATTGCTCTTTTTGTTATCTGACCATATTATTTCTTGACAACCACATCTCTACAAATATATAATCAAAATGTCTTACATTATTATCTATATAATAATCATGTATGCATATGTCTATAAAATAAAGTCACTTACGATGTATTCCCTTGCAAGTTGAACAACCACTCACAGACAATACTCTCCTGATGTGTCAGCTTAGCTTTTGTGTCTATTATCCTGCATTTGTAAGGTGATTTGAAAGCATCAGCAAGCTTCATCTCTCTTGGTTCATCCAGATCATGCTTTGATGGTCCTACTTCTATAGGAATTGCTACAGAGATTGGATTTGGATTAAGAACATTTGTATTTGCTAATCTGATCACAACCCTCTAATGGTCGTCTTTGATTTGTTTCTTTGTAAGTCGTTTTTTGGTGAAGATTTATTAGATTTTTACTTGAAGTTTGATCTGAATTATGACTGAGACCTAGACTAAAGCTTGGATGAGTATTATCTGCATGCCAGGAGATTTATCATATAAATAGCTGTATGTTAATTATCATATTTCTTTATATTTTGAAATGTTTTTCCAAATTGTTACCTCCTTCATTTTCTTTTGTCTTGTCAACTTCTCCTCCTTTTTTGTTTTCATTTTCAGACTTTTTCTTTCCTGAAAGATAAAGAACATATATGAATATTGTATCTATATTCAAAAAATTGTATTAGTTATCCATAAATGAATATAAATATTGCAATATATTAATTTTCGAATAAGTAATGCATAGCATTACTTATGAACAAGTAATTCTATATTTTACTTATTAATAAATGAAAAGTGTGTTATTCAAAAAATAAATGTATGCATTACTTACATTGTCTTATTCACTTGTGAATAAGTAATGTATTCAGTTATGAATAAGTAATGGATATCATTATTTATGAATAAGTAATACTTTATTTTTTATTTATTCGTTTATTGTGTTATTCATTTGTGAATAATCAAACTTATTATATTCATTTATTAGTGAATCAACTATTTACCTCTATCATCTGCATTTCCTTTCTCAATTTCTGTTTGTTTATCTGCACCTCCATCTTTTGTGTTCTTAGCTTCTTCTCCTCCTTTATTTCCATGTTCGGAGTTTCCCTTGCCTGAAACATATACATCATATATGAATATTCTATCTTTTTTTACTCATTTATATAGTGTCTTATTCACTTATGAATAAACAATGTTATTAAAAAATGAATACAAATATTGTAATATATATTGAATCATTCATTTACCTGTATCATCTCCCTTTCTTTTTTCAACTTCTTCTCCTTATTTATATACACCTTTTGATATTCCCTTTTCTGCAAGATCCATTTAGTATTATATATTAAATATAATTAATTAATGAATTAGTAAATATATAATAAGTTGATAGTAACATACCTTGAATAGCTTGACTGATCAGAGTATTAGTTTTACTTCTAGTCATTGGTGGCCCTGGTCAAAATTTAATAAAAAAATTTGTTATTGTGTATTAATATTTTTATAAAATAAAAGTAAGTCAAAATTTAACTATATCAATATTATCCAAAATAGTTTTCATTTCAGGGTCATTTCAGATTTCATCTTCTTGATTATTTAAACTTGAAAATCCAATTCCAATGATATTATCCACAATGTTGTTAACAACTTTATCCAACATATTTTCATTTTCACTTTGTTCAATAGTCTCTCCATGATTATTTGTTTCTTCAGCCTCATCATCATTTTTCTCTTCATCATTCTCATTTTCATTGTTCATTCCATCTTTCTCTTTTACTTCAGTTTCACCTTCTTTTTTATTGTTATCTCCATCATTCTTTATTCCTTCATTCTCTGCTTCGTTTGAATCAAGCAAATAATCTACTTCTGGTTAACTTCCATCATTATCATTGTCTTCTTCACCATTTCCCTCTTTATCTTCATTTTCTTTTTGATCATTTGTTTTTTGACCCATTATTGGTGTCAAATTGATACCTTCAACTCCAGTTTCATTACTTGGAAACTCAAAAAGTGTTGTGCTTTCAGTTTTTCTTCAACAATTATATTTGTCATCTTTTCTTTGAAAATCGTAAAACTTTCCTATTCAGGGAACTTTGTTATCGCATCATTGAGTTTTGAATTCAGCTTTTCCTTCATCCACTCAAAACTATTAAGCATTTTAGATAATTTTGATTCATATGCCTATGTAATAAAAAGAAGTATGATTAGAAATTTAATAATAATTTAACGTAATAATATATTATTAACATGTTCAAAATAATTACCTCAACAGTATCATCTTCATCTTTATCAGAATCACTGTCTTCGAGATCTGTATCTCCTTCATCTTGTTCATTAACAAATTTTCATTTAATTCTCTAAGTCCAAATCTACCTTTTTCTTGTTCAAATGTATCTCGATATCTAATCTTCTCTGAACTCCAATAAAAAGATGTTGGACGTTTATGTGTTACCGTTAAAGCTTCTAATGGATGTTATCAGCATAGAACAACGGCAGATAAATGATAATTAATTGATATTCATAAATGAATTTTATATATATATATATATATATATATATATATATATATATATATATATATATTCATATATTAATAAGTAATGCAAACCACTACTGATTCATATATGAATATATATATATATATATATATATATATATATATATATATATATATATATTTATATATGAATAAGTAATATTATCTTTTACTTATTCATATATGAATATGTGCTATTCAGCTATGAATAATTAATATTATTAAAAATTGAATATAAATATTATAATAACTTACCACCAATAAAGCTGAAGGTCCAACAAAGTAGTTGGTATCTGAGTATAGTATGTATGAGCTCTTTGTTCTGACAAGACAGTCCAAAACATAGTTGCACTAGTCTATGTTGCTGATATCTATTTTTCTTGAAATATAACTCAAAGGAATCAGGTTGCTTCTTCCCATTGATGTTGACTCACAAAACGTGTTGACAAAAAGAACTAAGAAGTTCAATTTGAAATTGAAATCAACTTTTGTGGTACAAACAATAACTTTTTTGATTGCATTCAGTCGGATGATTGCTCCATCTTTAAATTGTTGCTTCCATTCATCATAATTTGTATCATCTTTAGGCCATTGATCCAGTTGTGTAAGTATGGTTCCACCAGTTGTAATGCCCAACATGTCATGAACAGACTCTGTTGTTACTTTCAGTTCCATTTCTTCAACATCTATCACCATTCTCTCATAATCAAATTCTTGAAGAATATAAAATCCCAGCTTCAGTGGTATATCTGTGATTTCCATTTTTAACAGACTTCCAAAACCCATAGATCTTACACATTCTTTTTTTTGTTTGGTCAACCCAAGGATTATAGATAGCAATGACTCTGGTGAACATCTGTTTTTCATCGAGTAAAATTCCTTTACCATTGTTTTTTTCTCTTTCTTGATTGTTGACTCCTTTTTTGCCTTCTTTGATAAACGACTACTTTCAAAAACAGAGTCTGAATCATGTAGTTGTCGTTTTTCAGGAGTTTTTCTTTTTGATGGACTTTTTTTTTGCTTTGATACGCTGTTTTCTTTGGTGTTTTTGTTTCTTTTTTTTTTCCTGGGAAATGAAAACATATAATACTTGAATAAGTTGTAATTATTCATATATGAGTAGTGCAAATATATAACATGTATATACAAGTTATTGATATATGAATATTATATATATATATATATATATATATATATATATATATATATAAGCCATATATAGTTATTCATATACGAATATCCTTGTTGATTTATTAATATTTATTTATTAAAAAAATATAACAGAGATATACAAGTTTATTCATATATGAATATATTAGATATGATAGGAATTTTGTGATGGATTTTAGTATACTACAACATCCTATGGTGCACATACAACCCTAAATACCTTGGATCTATGTTTTCACTAATTATACATGCAAATGGTTTCCAAGGCATTAAACCTATAACTAGCATGCAATTTGTCATAAACAATACAAGATACTAGTTAGAGTAACATACTTTTTATGTGGCTTGAAGTCTTGATGTATTTGATGTTGCTTGAAAACACTTTGGCCTTTAAGAACTTAGTGCCCCAAGTGTTGCACCTCAAATGGAATCACAAATCACCTAGGACAAATGTGACTATTGAGAGAGAATTCATGCACCAAAAACACCTTCAAGAACTCCAAGAACTTCTAGTGGCTTTTTAGGCAATGGACTACATATTTATATGTGGGATGTCAAGAGTCATGGATATAATCCAATTCCATACCCATTGGTTTTATGATCAATGGTTCATGTGGCACAACTCTTTATGTATCCATACATAAACTTGGTCCAACATGGATCAAAGTCCAACACATATAAATATAACTAATTACCATAATTAGTCCCCATAGATTTAATTAGTCTCTTTTGATCATTAAATTAATTCCAAATTAATTCTTGATCAATACTAATTAAAACATATGATTTCATATTAATATATTATAACTTATAATATATTAACAAATCATATATATATAACCTTCTCTCAAGAGTCCATCCTAACAAATTGTCCTGGTGTTATGCAACCCAAATGGACCATGCTACTCTCGGGTCGAGTACATACCAATAATTGTTATGGGCATAGACACCTAATCCAACAGTCTCCCACTTGGATAAGTCTAAAACTATTATTGCATATGACTCCATGATCCCGACTAGCAATCGTAGCTCTTAAAAGCCGCTGTCGAACTCAGACCTAGTCAATGACTTGTCCATTATATAAGGGATCGTATATTCCTCCATTATAGATATCATATGGACTGAGACATGGATTATAATCATTCTCTCTGTCCATTTTTTGTTTCTCGATTTCCGATTTATGACGACCAACTAATTGAACAAATCAAATCAGTCCAGGCCCGGCTGAGCACTTACGTTTGTAATCACTAACTCACCGAGGGGCCCACAGATATCACTTTTATCCCTCCAAGGGTAAAAGGAATAGATAAACTTCGACTCATATGCTTGCTCTATATACGCACCAAATTACACACAAAAATGCGTTTTATAACACCAAGTTCCTGGTGCGTTTTCACATAGTCAATGTGTAACCGACTTGTAGACTGCAACTCATATCTCTTGGTTTGAGGAATATAAGATATTATCGTCTCATGATCACTCGTGATAAAATCCATTAAATGAGTCAAATGAGTGTGGGTTTAATGCAATACTCGAATCTCATTCCAGGAGCACTCACGAGTGTTGCAGCAACTTTTGATATATCTAAACACTTTAGACATCTACAAACCCAATTCATGACAGTCTTGCCTTAATACCTACTTCCAACGTATTATCGACTGTGGATGGTTTGAATAACTTAGTCATTCGGGAAGAATAACCTAGTTATTCTGGAAGTCAAAACATGCAAAGTGAAACACAAGAATAATCGAATCCAATATGGTCTCAGAACTTATGAATATAAATAAAACACCCTTTATTTATCACCATATTGATTACACATTATTCATTGTATAATGTTTCGATTTATCAACCTAATACTTGAATTAAAACAATAGTCATGACACGCTCCAAGCATGCACACTATGTTTGTCCAAACAATAGTTATGCCATGCTCCAAGTATGTACACTATGTTTGTCTATGATCCTTACTTTGTGAAATAGATCAATTGACCATGATTCCAATTATTCTCATTCACAATCCCAAATCCTTACCGCAAATGTATGATTACAAGATTCTTTGCCATTTACTGAAATCTGTTAGATTCTAAACTTATATGCATTGATCCTCTTGTAATGACTATGCACAAAAGTCACAAAGACTTGACAACAAACATTTACAAAGTATTCCAATGGAGAGCAATTCCATGGAAACGAAGTCTCAAATTCAAAGTACATTCCTTTGAACATCCTTCTTGCATTAAGTTTTCTAATCTTACATAGATTTAATGAATAACTTCCACCTATGGAAACATTTCCACATTCCCATTTTGACTATCACTTCTGAACAAGAGTTGCCTCCTTTCAGAATATGTCAATATGGTCCTTCAAAATTAACACTATACTTCTAATTGTCCATGAGCAACCAATCTTTGATAAACCTCAGATCGTCCTCGGCAATTTCTTAATCATTTAGTCATACCCAGTTCTAGTACTTTTTCCCTCTTAATGCCCTAGGCATTTGGAAAATTCAGAACAGATTAATATTACAGCACATGTAATCGATCCTATATCTGAAGCATATGGGACACGATTCATGATGTCTCACATAAAGACATGATACTAGACCAGTCTTTTGCTATAATATTTCTATTTCTATTTTCCATGTTCTCAAAATTCAGATTATGAAAAAGGGATGTCGTAATCATAATCGAATTTTAGAACGTAAATAATGACTATGACTAAAGTTGATTAAAATCTCACAATCTAAGCTTTTAGATTTGAAATTAAGTATAATTTCCTCTTCCTTAATTATAGAAAAACAACCTTTTCAACCCCTACAACTTCACAAATTGAAACTTTTGTTTTCTATAATTAACATTGCTCACTTGCAATATTTACCATAACTAATTATGCTCTCACTAGCATAATAATTATTATATTACTAGCATAACACTTATGCTCCCACTAGCTCTGACATGTATCCAGAAATCAGCTGGACTTCTAGAAATCAATACTTTATTGACTTTCTTACCAAAGTTCAGATTTCTGATACGAGATGCTTTGATAAAACTTTATCAAAATCATACACCTTTCCTTAGATAGCTCACATGTGTGTCTAAACAATTTTTAGAACTATGAAAAGGGATTTCGTAATCATAGTCTCAATTGTTTAGACCTTTTCCATTTCTCACAAGTCCATGTTAATGTACCGGTTAACCACACATACTCCACTAACGACTTTGAGAATGCAAATATCATAATTTTTATCTACTTAAAATCTACTTAGTGAAAGCGTTTCCTCACCATCATTTTCATGAATCAAAGAGAAACCTTATGACACTTAGATTTTATGGTGTATGTGTTCCTATCCATGTAAATTTGTCAGAACCATAATCACAAGACAAGGTTAGTGACAAATCCAAACTCATATGGACTGAACTTGTGTAATCTTAACTTCTTGCCACTTGGCAGCACAAGGGCCTACCATTGCTTCCAGGTTGTTATGCAAACAATTGAGAACTCATAGAACTCATATGCATAGTCAACTTTAACTGGAATGGGCACATCAACAAGAATATGTCAACATGATAAGTTGCAAACCTCAAGTTGTGTGCTAGTGATAAATAATAAGTTTCAACCTTGATTAGTTCTTGAGACTTTCAAGACCTTTAAGACTCCCACTGTCCTCTTGACATATAAGACTCTCTTGTCAAGAATCATTACTTGACAAACAAATATTCAAGAGTTAGTGCGGATTGTTTATGAAGACAAACACTTCACACAATTGGTCACAGTTGGTCTTTGTCTTATCCAAGACATCACAACTTGCCAATTTCAAATGCACAAAAGTAAGACAACATTTTACTCTACATTTGACAAGTGTTATAAACCTTCTCAAGATTATGTCACTCAAGTTAAAATCTTGGAGTATTACTCTAAGACTCAATTTAGGAACGAAGTATGACTTATCCTTTTGATTTAACCAATTCAACAAATCACGCTTCCTCTTCTTAGTCAAACAAATGCACTAAGATGTCCTTAGAGAATCAATTGTGATACGGTTTCATAATCACTAAGATAATCATAAAACAAGATACTCAAGTACTCTCCCATCTTTTCAGATTGGAGAAACTTTTATCTTTCTGCCTAATTTGATTATTCTTATTCGTTCTGCCTTACATTGAAACTTTTCCAATGTACCAGAATTACACTTAAACTTGTAAGTATAACCATATTCACTAAACTTTAGTCACGACGAATAGCCTTATCGATCTTTGTGGTGGACCTGACCAACGCACAACCAAGTGTACCCGATCTCCTAGTCCTTCACTTGACTCACATATACATGTGCACAAGGAGTTAGCCTTAATTTCCCAAAGATGAAAATTCTCATTCATCATACAATACAAGTTGCATGATTCCAAGTTTCTATCCAACTGAAACTTGGGTGGTGAGAATCTTTCCTTATTTGGTAAATTATGACACTACCACAAACGAAAGAATCAAATCCATTTTCCAATATTGCTATCAATGGAATCATATAAACAACAATTTTTCATAAATGCCATTGTAAGGATATTTAAAATAAATAAAATCAAAACTTTTATTTTATTTTAAAACTTGCGGAAAATTTA